GGAACAGCAGTTTTTAAACTGGTGCTGCCTCCCTCTTGCACCCTTTCTCTCTCTGCTTCCCCGCCGGCTCTGGGAGATTACGCATACGAAGATCTTAATTCCCGAAATAATATCTCTGATTTGTTCTAGCGTGACACGGCCTTTTTGTTGAATGAAGCACACGCCGAGGCCATGCCCGTCTGCAGCCCTGGTGCTGCTGCAAAATCCCTCCCATGCCTGCACGAGCTCTCTGATTTGTTCTAGCGTGCTTTTTGCTTTTTGTTGAATGAAGCACACGCCGAGGCCATGCCCGTCCTGGCGCTGCTGCAAAATCCCTCCCATGCCTGCACGAGCAGTCCTGCGGGTCCCCGTGACACCACCGCCCCGTGGGTCCCCCGCGGCCCCCCGCCCCCCCCACCGCCCCGTACCGGGCAGGGGGAGCGGCGGCGGGGACAGGCATCCTTCGGGGCTCAGGAGAAGCACCCTGATGGTTTGCAGATGTGATTTCATTTTTCAATTGTTTCTAATTTGCTTGGGGTTTTTTTTTCAGTTCTAGAAATGAGACAATTTCTTCAGGGAGTGTTAGCCACAAGCCTCATTTGGCATTGTTTTTTAGTCAATTGGTTTTGTTTTATATTATTAGGAATATTATATTACATAATGATAAGCCGCAACGACTTATTATGGAGACTATAAAAGGAGGCAGCATGGGCATGAGGAGCACCAGCCGCCAGCGCGGGGCAGCCGCCCTCCCGGCTTTGTCATCTGCCCTTGCTCTAACCTTCAGCAGGTCTGTCATCTCCCTGGGTCTCAGTTTCCCCTCCTGTAAAACAGGGCTGATAGACGCTCCAGCTATTAGCTTAAAAGCTTTTCCATCCTTAAGTCAGAAAAAGATGAGTTTTTCCCCTTCCTTCCATCCTGAGAAGCAGGTGTGAGGATCTTCTATACCTTTTCTATCATGGCTGAAAGCCGTCAGAGTCCGAGCAGGTACGGCACCCTACCGAAACAACCCTGGTCCCTGCAGAACTAGGCTGTGGATGAGAAGCTAAGGCAGAAATGGGAAGGAGCTACTCTGCCCGCAGAGGCATTTTCCAAAAGCACTGGACAAGTGAAAACAGGAAATCGTAACTGAACTAAATCTGCCTCTTTAACCTCATTATTAGGATTGGGATTATATGCTTTGGAGAAAGTTCAGCCTCTGTTTAAAATTTGGGGAGGTGGGAGCAAATGCTAGTAACCACGGGGAGAGAGGAAATGTTCCTGTGCTTGGTGACAAATCCAGCTGGAAGGAAAGATGGGGTGGCACGGGATGGGGGCTCAGCCTGGTGTCCTCTTTCCAGGCAGCACCAGGCTGCTGCTGGGGCGAGCGCTGATAATCTCTGGGGGGCCTGGTAATTTCCTCTCTCTGCCTGAAGATTAAAGCAAATTTTCCTCCGTTTCCATATTTAAAATTGTGTCCACGTTCAGTTGGGAAAGATGATGGCGTCTCAGGTTACTTTGTACACTTGAGCTGAACCAAAGCTCCTGTAGATCCGGCCTCTGCCACCTCTGCTCTCCCCACACAGCACCTGGTACCCTCAGAAAAATCTGATGGTTTCGGCCCCAGCAGGAATAGCAAAATCCACCCTTGAAGGTGGATTGCTCCAGCCAGCCAGGTCGGCCAAGCACTGCGTTGGCTGTACCTTTACTGCTTCTGCTGCTGTTAATGACATCCACGTGCATCGGGCAGGTTAAAGCACCTGCCTCTGAAGGCAGCGTATACAGAGACCCAGCCCCCAGCAACGTCACCCCAAAGTGAGCTCTCCTTCGCATGCAAAATTACCGACAGCGAAGCGTACCAGGTAGGCAGCAGTGAGCTGCTCTCCAGAGAAAAGCTGGAGTAAGGGAGAAGCGTAGAGGTGAAGAGTTATCTCGGGGCATGTCCTGTTTTCTTTACAGGCCTGCAGAGTCCGAAGCACTTCAATAATAGTTAAACAATTGTTAAATAGTACTTTATCTTCAGGCCGGGTAACAGCGTGAGCAGCCGCTGGCTGCCTAGTGACAGGCAGCTCGATAAAACCATCCACCCGGGAGGGAGGCAGTCCGGATGCCTTGGCCCGGTGCTGCCAGTACCGCACACCCTGCCTCGTTCCAGCTGCTGACGTTTCCAAACCTGTGTGCTCAAAACGAAGCTCCGACATCTGACTGAGCAGGCCTGGTTTGCAAAGACACAGAGCACAAAGGTCTCCTAACCACATCGCGGCTGGCTGCTGGCATTGCAGCTGGGGGGTGCACAAGCTTTAGGGAGCCAGGCCTGGAAACGTTGCATTTAAATCCGTCGGCTGAGTGAGCATCCACTCCTCACCGCAGACCTCTGTGGAGGATTTGCCAGCACGTGGCCCAGGGTTGTGGGGGCCGAGAGCGGGGTCATACCTGCCCCTCTGCAGGGCTGGGGGGCAGCGGGGAAGGGGAGCCAGGCAGGGGCTGGCAGCGAGGCAGGGGCAGAGCAGGCGTGCGGCTCGTGCACGGGACAACGCTGGCTCAGCATGACCTGAGAAATGAAATGAGGAGAGAGGAGGGGGGCTCTTTTTTTCCTTGGGAGTTTGTTTTTATACACTGAATTTCCTGCTCGGGGAATCTAAGTGTATAACCCCCCCCTCTGGGCTGCCCCCAACATGGAGGTAGGCTGGGGAGAAGCGGGCTGCCTGTCTCACTCCGCCGGAGGAAGAGGCGCTTACGGTAGAGGTGACCTTTCTAAATCCCTGCTTTGGACAGACATTTCCAATAAGTGCTGAAGAAAAGCCTGGCAGTTCCAGCTTTCTCAGCCTGCTCTCCATTTTCCTTCCATCCTCTCCAGGCTGAATTTAATCCGAGAAGGTTCCTTTGAGCTTTTGTGTGTTGCTGGGGGAGATGTGGGCGCACAAGGGATCGCGTTACAACTTTCATTTCCTGAAATGTTTGAGGGAACATCCAGGGTTTTATCCACACATCAGGCAAAGTTGAGGGCTCGGATTTCAGGTCTTGTCACTCAGCTGTCACCAAACAAATGAGCCTCTCAGAGCTGGAGACGGAGAGAGCTACCTGCTATTCATGACCCCGAAAGCAGGTGATCACTCATGGGAAAAGCAGGTAGAATTAATCATTCCGCTGTTCTCCATTTCCTCCCCTTTTTTGGCTGACCTGGACACAGTGTGAAATCTGTCCTGGGGGGTGAGCGGGACCCGGGGGGGGGTTAACCCCCTCCCTGCCGATAGCAATACAAAGCAGAGCGAGGTGAGAAACAGTCCCCGGCTGCCTCTCCAGGCTGACTTTGCTGTGAAAAGCTTGCTGCGAGGTCAAGCCTAATCGAGGAGAGCTCAGCAACCTGCGCCTGGCTCAGCTCCAGGGCCTCCCTGCTCCTACCTGCCCGCCGGCCCCTTCCCCAGCCGGGGGGTTACTTCTAGGGGAGGGTTCCCTCAGCA